GAAATACGGGATGCCTAGAAACTATGGCCCTCCCTCCTGAATGTTTTCTTCCACAGGCCAGAGTCAGCCCTCTGAGGTTTTTTTACATTTTACTCATTCCCTCTCCTCCCCAAACTGATAATTCAAAGGAAAAAAAGAAAATATGCTATCCAAGTGATTCATCTTCAAATCATATGACTCTCCTTCTCCCCTCACCTCACAGCCAACTCAAGCTAGTCTGGGTCATAAGACATTTTCCTGTGGGTGTCACTTCCTGAATGGCAGGTCGCAGCGGACAACATATACTCATCTGCCTCCATTAAGTAAATACTCATATTAGGAACTGGTTAGGTCCATGTCTCTAATAATAATTGGTCAATCTTGAGGCCAGTTTCTTCAAGAAAGCCTTGCAAGGATTTCAGAGGGCAAAAGAAATACAGAACTCTCCTCCTCTCTCCAAAAACAACCAATTTATTCTTACAGACAAACTTATCTATTTACTGACAAAAGCAAAATGCATAGATAAATCTTCAGAATTACTTTCTTATCCAAAGCAGCTAGCCAGAGGCCTAAGTTAACAGGTATCATCTCTGTCTCTGCTCCCCTGGAAACCCAGTCTTTGAATAACAAAGCAGCAGTAGCAACAGGCTCACAACTCAGAATGACTGATGAGTCCACTGTAACTCTTTGGAACCCGGACAATAAAACCAAAGGGCTACTTGAAGCATGTCCCAGAACTCAACAGTCAGTTCAATTGAGGCACAAAGTAGAATTCAACAATCTGGTCCCACCAGGCATGGTGGCTCACACCTATAATCCCAGCACTTTGGGAGGCCAAGGCAGGAGGATCTCTTGATACCAGGAGTTCAAGACCAGCCTGGGCAACACAGCGAGACCCCATCTCTACAAAATGTAAAAATAAGAAAATTAGCTAGGTACAGTGGTGCATGCCTGTACTCCCAGATACTCAGGAGGCTCAGGTGGGAGGACTGCTCGAGCCCAGGAGTTCGAGGTTGCAGTGAACTATGATCATGCCACTGTACTCCAGCTCTGGGCGAGAGAGTGAGACCCTGTCTCAAAAAGAAAAAGAAAAAGAAAAACAAAACAAAACCAAGCTAGTCCCCAGTGAAAGGGAGACCAAGACATTCCTACTACTAGTGGGGGCTGAAAAATATCAGGGCTGAGGCCAAGTGGTAAATACTCCCATTTAAAGAAAGCAGAACTTGAGGGCCAAGATTGCCGCCAAGTGTCATTTATAGACTGACATCTCAAACTTCTCAATTTCCTTCCACCATAAGTAGAATCAGAAAGCATTGAATTGACTCTAAAAGCATTAGTAATTATGGTTATCTTGGTGGTACAGGGGTTTCATCAAAGAATACTGTCTGTGCTGCAACTGTATACTGGTTAGAAAAAAATAATAAAAAATAAATACTGTCTGGACCAGACAAATGAAGGAATGGTAGGATAAGAAGAATGAAGGAACAGAAGTACATTCCAAAAGAATGAGAGACAAGTGCCTTTCAGGACTAAGTGCAGGCCTCAGTTCAACTGAATTCTGTTAACATTTGCTCAGGACCTAGTTTGTGCAAGACGGTGTGCAAGTATTGGGTGGCTTTCCTAGATTAAGACATAAAACAGACTCTGGTCTAATTTCCAAAGCTAATGTTCACTTTTTATAATAAACTATGTTACCAATAATCAAGAATACTCTGCTCATTCATAGAGAACAAACTTTAAAACCATTCAAATTAGAAAGACACCCACCAGTATTTAGCTGAGAAAGAAAATGACTATTGCCTAATTTTTCTCACCATTCTCTCTCTTTAATAGACTTTCAATTCCTTTATTGTATCTAGGAGAAAGCTTCAGTTTAATGCCAATATTTTAAAAAATACCTTTCCTTAACACTCACTCACTAATCCCCCCTTTTAACACAGGGGGGAGTGAGGCATAGATAACTTAAGTAGCAGTAGTCCATGAAGCTGGGGATAAAAACAGAACCACATAAGGAAGCAAGGGGCCACTCGTTGGCTGGTGTCAGGACCCACATCCAATTATTGGAACATGGAACCCAGAGGGTTTCCTATGTCTATACAGCAGCAACAAGAAGGTATTATGCTATGCTAAAAGAGGCCCTTTCCTCTAGGAACCTAAAATAAATTTATTTATTTAATTAGTTAGTAGAGACAGGGTCTCGCAATGTTGCCCCAGCTGGTCTTGAACTCTTGACCTCAAGCAATCCTCATGCCTTGGCCTCCCAAAGTGCTAGGATTACAGGCATGAGCCACCACACCTGGTCCCTACAATTTAAAACAGGTCAAGCACACCACTCACATTGCACAGTGAAATATATAGAAGTGACCTTTTATAAAAGAGGGTTTTTTTTAAGTTTGGTAAATATGCAGTGGATGGTTCTCAAAATTTTTGGTCTCAAGACCCCTTTAAACTCTTTTAAAACTGAAATGTTAAAACTATTAATTTACTTAATAATAAAAAATCCATTGCATGTTAACATAAATGACCTATTTTTTATGAAAAATAACTATATTTTCAAAAAAATATTTTAGACCAGGTATAGTAGCTTGTGCCTGTAATCCCAGCTAGTCAGGAAGCTAAGGCAGGAGGACTGTTTGAGGCCAGAAGTTCAAGACCAGTAAACCTCTCCAATGTCTGATTTAATAGATGATAACTGTATTCTCACATCTTCCTTAGTATTCAATGTTTCAATATTACATATCATGTAGTCTCCGGAAATCTCCACCTTACAGTCATAAGGAAATGAGAATGAAAAGGGTAAATAAAGTCTTAGAATTATAATAAAATAGTTTTGACTTGTGACCCTAAAGAAGGAACTCCTAGGGGTTTCTGGGCCACACTCTTAAGAATTGCTGTATTCTATAATAGAAGTTGGAGGGAAACAGCAGTCCTTGATTCAGCCATTTAGGTAGAAAGGCCTTTTTACATGTCGACTCTTACAAAAGGGAGCAAGATGGGGTACTCCAAATATATAAAACCCCAAAAGAGGATGGGATCCAAATACATAGAATGTAGTGAAGCAGATTTAGCCCGTATTTATTTTCCCACCCCACTGCCATCATCCTGCCTGCCTCACCCATTACAACCTGTGGCTTGGAACAGCTCCCTATAAGAAACGGCAGATGATGCTTAAAGTCTCAAGACCTACATCGGTATATAATATACAAACTTGACTGCCTCTTAACATTTTAGTAAAATAATTTTACTCTATTTGAGATTCTCTATTTGGTGACGGCTATCAGTGTGGTTCTCGACCAAGTGGAAGGACACCAAAATTTCTTGGAGGGTAGTTGGAAAATGTACATTTAATATATAACAATTGTATATTTGAAAAATGGGAAAAAATACCATCTTATGACAAAATCTAGGTGGATAAAGTATTTTTAAAAGGTTGAAAATCACTGATATGAGGCCAAATTCCTAGAACGTATGGACAATGTAATTGGTATTTTGATGCAAATACCAATTAGCATTATCTAATGAGTTACTCCTCTCAATGGTTATTAAAGTATCTTCTCAAAATTATACTACTTTTGCCAGGCATGGTGACTCATACAACTTGGGAGGCTGAGGCACAAGGATGGCTTGAGGCCAGGAGTTTGAGACCGGCCTGGGCAACATAGCAAGACCCTTTCTCTAAAAAAATAAAAATAAGAAAAATTAGCCAGGCATTCACCTGTAGTTCCAGCTACTCAGGAGGCTGAGGCAGGGGGATCACATGAGCCTAGGAGTTCAAGGCTGCAGTGAGCTATGATCATGCCACTGTACTCCAGCATGGGCTACAAAGCAAGACCCCATCTAAAAAAAAAATTATAATACTCTTCCCTTATTCAATACCATGTATCTAAGAAAGCCTAATTCAGAGGTCAGTAGGTATATAAATTAAAAACAAAAATCTCTGAGCTCCCAATAAGCACCAGGAACTATGCCAGGGGCTTTCATGTGTGACATCTCGTTTAATCCTCTTAAACTAGTAAGTCACATGCTGTTCTATGGTTCTTAGCAATATGAACATCTAGTATTACTCTAAACAAAAGAGAAAATGCCTGCAAATTCTGTAATTGAGTGAGCACAAGACCTGAAGCACAAGGATGTAAGTGAGGAGGGGAAATGGGAACACTCTTTACCATGACTAGCATTTTCTGTCTTACTGTTCCAGGTCCCCACTGAGGTAGAAACCCTCCTAAATAGGGAAATGGAATCAGAGTTATTGTCTTCAAAAATCTTTCAGACTAAGTTCCAAAAGTAGGTATTGCAGAAACTGTTGGGTCTCCCAATCTCTGTTCCCCCTTCTTCCCTGGACATAAGACCCCTAATTTTTAGCTACGCAAAAGAAAGCCTAGAGTTCCCAGCTACTACTGCAGCTTAGTTCTAGACAATGCGATATAAGCAGAAGAGTCTGGTGCAACTTCTAGGAAATGCCTTCAAGGGTGGGGGCATATTCTCCTTCTCCCTTTCCTTCTGCCAACCAGCTGCAAAGCAGACAGATGCTGCAGCTTGAGTAGCTATTCTGGATCACAAAGTGGCAGCCACACGCTAAGGATAGCTAATCGGCAGGATGGAAGGAGCGTACATGCCCAGTAAAGTGAAATGCCTTGCCAGCCCCTACAGTCTATAGACTTCTTTTACCTGAGAGATAAAGGAACCTTTTTTTCAAGTCATTATTATCTTAAAATATCTGTCACACATAGCCAAATTCAATACTAACCAATAAGCACCTGAAAAGAGAAACCAGAAATTCAGATGACTGACTCTGAGGCAGCAGAGCATGGTGGTTAGAAGCGTGCGCTCCAAGAGTCAATCTGCCTGGGTCTAATCCTGCCTCTACCACTTACTAGCTGTGAGACCTTGAGAAAATTACTTACACTCTGTGTGCTTCAGTGTTCTCACCTGTGGAGATAATAATAGTACCCACCTCGGAGGGTGGTTATGAGGATTAAGTGAATTATTATTTATAAAGCACTTAAAACAGTACCTGGCATATATAAAGCGCTATGTAAATATTTGTTAACTAAAATAAATACATTTGGAGCAAAGTCAAAGATGACAATTCCAAATACAGTCAGTCTGTGGGCCAGTCTAACCCACCACAGCACTTAGGAAGTGGTCCTGTGTTCTAAACAATATTTTCCTCAGTGGAAGCAGGCTGGGTCCATTAATAAGTTTTGTCAGGGCATCTATGTTTTGACTTCCCCTCCAAGAAAAGATAGTGGCCTGGAATCCTAAAATCACCAAGAAACATACCACCTATGATCTGTCATCCTCTGTGGCCTATGTACTGAGATGGTAGTACTTTACCTAGCAGACAGAGTGGAGAGATCGTATTACTCCCACTTGTCAATGCACCAGATCACTTCTCAGTTGGCCTAACACACTTCAAACAGAGCTGTAACAGTCATGAAAGAAAAACAAAAATCTTCCTCCTTCTCCAGTACCTACCTATCAATGATAATCTTAGCCCCTTCTTACATGAGCCAGCCAACAAGCTAAAAAAAACCAAAAAACAAAAACAACTCATATCTCAGGTCTCATTCTGTTTCCAAATAAAAAAATAAAAGCATCTTGTAAACATTTAGACCACAGGGTAATCACCTCTCATAGCTTCTAAAAATGACGGTTCCCATTTGAGCTCCCTAAGAGACTTGGAAAGACTTATTACTTTCAAAGCTTTTTCCAACTCAGTTTATGTAAACTGAGTTGATGGTAGAACTGCTCTTTGGTTCTTTTTTTTTTTTTTTTTTTTTGAGACAAGAGTCTCACTCTCTTGCCTGGGCTAGAGTGCTGTGGTGTCAGCCTAGCTCACAGCAACCTCAAACTCCTAGGCTCAAGCGATCCTCCTGCCTCAGCCTCCTGGGTAGCTAGGACTACAGGCACGCGCCACTATGCCTGGCTAATTTTTTCTATTTTGTTGTTGTTGTCTGGCTAATTTCTTTCTATTAATAGTAGAGACAGGGTCTCACTCTTGCTCAGGCTGGTCTTGAACTCCTGAGCTCAAGCAATCCTCTCTCCTCGGGCTCCCGGAGTGCTAGGATTACAGGTGTGAGCCACCGTGCCCAGTCCTGCTCTTTGGTTCTTGATGATAATTCAGGGACAACTCAAACTCTGGGTGAATAATGGGTCATTCAATGAACCTAACCAAGAGCTACAAGTCACAGCCCATCCTGGCCACTCAGAACTCCTATCAAAACAGCACACTGCCCATCTAAAGAGATGACACAGGAGAGATGCAGGGAAAATCTGAGGAAACTTTGACACCCATCATTTTAATAAGTGTAATAATAATACATTTTTCCAATGAACGATTCTGGCACATCTGAAAACTTAAGACAGGGATAACTTGATATTTCTTGTCCCTCTGTTCTTCCAACGATACCTCTGGTTTTATCTGAGTCAAATGCCACGAACTCTTCCGCAGTTCTCAAAAGGATAAAGACCACTTCTCAGCTGACCTGGTCACTCCATGCCCCATCTCATCCCATCACCAACCCCTTTTTACACACGCATGGAACAAAATAAAGGTCAGCAAACACGCTGCCTTAGCTGAAAAGCAAAATGCTGATAGCCTTGGGAGAGAAATGAAAGTAAAAAGTAGCTGACAGTCTCATCTTTCTAAAACTCCACATTCTAAACTGAGGAGCCATCGACAAAGATTTGAACCTTTTCCCAGAAGTGAGCAATAACCAGGACAGATGAAACTGGTGAGGCCTCCCACTCTATTATTATCGTCTGTCGGTAAGAGCGCAGGGACGGTGGCAGGAGAAACCCCTACAACACAGAAGGCTGGAACTGAATCCTCAGAGTCCCTGATGGGTCGGTCACCCACTGTCCTCAATGAACAGTGACACATTGCTTTGGTCCGAAAAGAGGGAACAGGCCCAAAGCCCAACAAACTGGTTTGGTCCAAAAACAGAGAACAAGCCTAAAGGTCAATGGCCGAAAAGTAGTCCCAGTAGTTTAAAGCTAAGTAAGCTCCTAGAAAGCTGCATCTCCTCGCGCTTCTCTGTCCATAGGCAGATTGCCCCACCACACAGCTGGGCCCCTGGCCTGTATCTGGTCAATTTCCTCTTTTCATTTTCCGCTCACTCCTACCCCACCAAATGGGTTCTGATTTATTTCGTCATTCCGCAGAGCTTCCCCATCTCCAGTCCTCCGTGGCATCCCAAAATCCTGCCAGGGCTCACTGTGAAGTTTCTCCCTTTTGCAGCCTTTCAAGCCTCCCTTCTCCCTCTGGCTGTGCGAAGCCCAAAACTCCCAGAGCCCCACCTGCCCCGAGCCCGCGGCTGCGGTCCCCACCCCCGCTCTCACCCCCTGAAGGTCCTTAACGAAGTAGCTTCCGCTGGAGCCCTGGTAGATGCGCTCCGGGAAGATGCAGCGCTCGATGGCCACCTCGGCCTGCCGCACCATCGCCTCGAACTCGGGGTCCTCCGGGAACTCGTTCCGCTCGCGGTGGGCCTGCGCGGCATGCGCCGCCGCCGCGGCCTGGGCTGCCAGGGCTTGGGCCTGCACCGCCACGGTTTGGGTCTGGCCTTGGGCCACCGCGCCCCGGGCCCGATCCAGCAGTGGCTGCCGCTCCCGGTCGTGGCCGGGCGAGCCCGGCGGAGAGGGGCCGGAGCCGGCCGCCGCCGCCACTCGGACCGCGCCCCCAGGCACCTGCGGAAAGTGAGCTCCCGAGCCCGACGGGAAGGTGAAGTCCCGGGCTAGGGTCCGCTCGGGGGACACAAGTGGGCTCGTCTCGTCCATCCCTCTGGCAGCCGGCTCCGGAACCCGGCGTGCTCCACACCGCCGAGCTCGCGGCCGCGACCAATCCGCGACACCTCCCAGCCCCCGCCCGGCCAACCCGGTCGCGCCGCCTCCTTGGCCCCGCCCCCACCCTGCCCTGTTTACTTGGCGACGAGTAGGCACGGCCCCTCGCGCGCGGACGGCAGCCAATCAGAACCTGCGCCTACGCAATCGCGGCCTCCGCATTTTCCTCCCCGTCACCTTCTGTGAAGACTGCGCATGCTCCAGGAGCCAACACCCCCCCCCCCGGGTCAAACACGCCCTCTGCCCCCTGCCGTGCCAACCGCGTACTTGGCTTCCAGTTGGCTGAGCGGTTTTTGGGCGCTCTCAAATCCTCCAGCTTCCTGTCAGTCACTTATTGAGTGTTCATTCTGAGCCCGTGGTGAGACTGGAGAAATGTCATTTTTGTATCCGCTTCATTCAGTCATGCACGCATTCATTAATTGAGCACCTATTATGTTCTAAGTGCTGGGGAGACAGCAATGACGTAAAGGAAAAAAAACGAAAACAAAAACAAAAAAAAAACCCAGCTCTGCTTCAGTGAAATTCCAGCCCTTGTCAACCTAAAAGGAAGAAGCTGAGGCAAAATTAAGGGAAGTAGACAGTTTATTTGGGCCAAGCTTGAGGATTGGAACCCAGAAGCATAGATTCAAGTTGCCCTGAATGTACACTCTGATTATCAGCAGTTACAAGTGGGTTTTTGAGGAAAAGAGGTAGCTCCTAAATTGTTTACCAAGAATTTACATTAAAATAACAAGCTATCAGCTGGGCAGAGTGGCTCACACCTGTAATTCCAGCACTTTGGGAGGTGGAGGTAGAAGGATCACCTGGGGCCAGGAGTTCTAGGCCAGGCTGGGCAACTTAGTGAGACTGCCTCTGTACAGAAAATTTAAAAATTAGCCCAGCGTGGTGGTGCAGGCTTGTAGTCCCAGCTACTAGAAAAGCTGAAGTAGAAGGCTCACTTGAGCCCAGGAGTTGGAGGCTGCAGTGAGCTGTATGCCACTGCCCTCTAGCCTGGGCAACGGAGATGGAGCAAGACCCTATCTCTAAAAAAATAAATATGTAAAATAAGCTATCAATCGGCTATACATTGTTCTTTGTATCACAGATTCCAGGAAGAAGATAATGGGGGAAGTAGCTAGTCTGGAACAAAATGTCTTTACACAATTACCCCCAGAGTTTTTAGGTACTCCTAAAAAAAATAAGAAAAACAATTGCCCCCCGGGAATGGACATGGGAGGCTGGGATGAAGTCCAACACTCAAATCTCTCTGAGCCTGATGAATTTTGCACACCTCACATTGCTCAGATTGCTCTGAGCTATTACACTGTGCCTGGCCCAACTGCTCAATGCTTATATGTTAATCGAGGAAAGTTATGGTCCTATGAGACTAAAAAGTTCTTACCATGAGGTAAGAGTCCATCACTGTTTTAGTCACCGCTGTAAAACCTCAGTGTCTAGACAGAGTAGGGGCTCAGTACATTGTTATTAGTGGAAAAGGGAGGACTGTATCTTCCTTCCCTCAGAGGCACACAGCTCTCTGAGGCAGTGGAAGTAAAATAGCCAAGAAAGGGAGCTGAAAACTCCGTAACAGTTCACCTATTGGGGCAGGCTAGAGAGTCAGCAAAGGCTTTAAGTGGGGCATGTGCTATGAGCTAAGCCTTAAAGGAAGAGTGTAATTAGATCATTGGAAAAGAGAAGAGGAAAAAAATGGTCCAGAAAAAAGGAAAAGCCTGAGGAAAAGAAGAGGAAGGCTAGAGCATACAGGGAACTGACAGAGCCCTGCCGATTTGCGGGGAAGCAGGGTTAAATTGGGTTACCAAAGCCTCGTAAGTGGAACAGAGAGCTCTCCTGGCATGCACAGGGCCACAGGGAGTCTGAGAGAACAGTTCTTGAGCGGGGAAGTGATTTAGAGTAGACTAACTCCAGGCCCAGGCCCCTGAAGTAATGCCGAAATGAGTATGGGTGGCATGTAAAAGAGGATGCCTAGTTAGTTGGAGCATAGCTGTCCCTGGGGATTATAACCCCATCTGCCCAATCTGGCTCAACTTTCATATAACAAAGTTGTGAGTTGTTTTTCATTTGCCATGGACGCCCAGCTTGAAGGTCAGGTAACCTAAGCATGCCCAGATGAACCAAGGGTGCAACCATAGGCAGAACCTAAGTGCTCCAATGGAGAAGCAGGGACTGAATTAAGAAGTGGACACTGCATGGCAGGATCCAGGATGCAATCAGATTGAGCCCTGGTGTCACCCCATGGCAGGATACAGTCAGACTGTGTTTCCTGGCATCACTCCATCACAAGATCTTATCAAATCACGCCTCATTACCCCGTGACTATAAAACCAGCCCAACCCCCTTGTTTGGGGACACACTGCTTTGGAAACTCTATCCCTAGTATAGTCCTTATTTGTGCCAAGGAATAAAAAAACTCCTTGAAATAACCAACTTGGCTGTGTCTATGGACTTGATATCCGCCAAATGAACGAACCCGTCTGTTTGGGAGGTAACAGTATCCATGGGGGATTGGTTCCAGTACCCCTCATGAATACCAAAATCTCCCATGCTTGAGTCCCTTATATAGATGGTGCAGTATTTGCATGTATGGAAGAAAATAAAATCCTAAGCCCCCGCACCATGCACAAACTAAACGGACCCCTGTTGGCCAAGGAGATCCCAGGCAAACTTTTAAAACCTGAGTTTCCTGGCCATGAGAAGATAGGAGGTGGTCGGTCATGCCTAAGTACACCTCCTTCCTCACTAACCATCACCAGACTTTTTTCCCTAAGAGTTAAAACAGAAACCAACCTTGGAAACCAAAGAACAGGAGACTCCTCCACTGATTTCAACCAACAGTCTGACACCACGACCAGACTCCCCACCCTTTTCATGTTTTGGACATGACAGCTGACCGGTTTTCAAAGCATTCCTTCTTGATAAACTGACCATGGAGTGGGTCTGATCGGTTTATGGAGGCTATGCACAAAGTCCCTGTGTGTCCTGTGTTTCACCTCTTGACCTATAGAGCCTAATTTTATTGCATTTTAATGTCTCCTCCCCAAAGTAAACATGGGACATATGTAACATATATGGGGTGTGTGACATCCCCCCTTCACGAATATCCATGATTCCTATAACCTGTTAAATATGTATACATAGCCGACCCATTTAATATAAAACTCCTATCCCACCCCTGGCCTGCTTTCATTTTTCGGCCAAAGGCTCCCCTTCCCAACCTGCAGTTTGTAACCTATCATAAGAAATAAAGTTCTTGGCCAGGCATGGTGGCTCATGCCTGTAACCCCAGCGCTTTGGGAGACTAAAGGGAGAGGATTGCTTGAGGTCAGGAGATCGAGACCAGCCTGGCTAACATAGCAAGACCCTGTCGCTACAAAAAAAATAGTTGAGTGTGGTGGTGTATGTCTTTAGTCCCAGCTACTCAGGAGGCTGAGGCAGGAGGATCGCTTGAGTCCAGGAGTTTGAGGTTGCGCTGAGCTATGATGATGCCACTGAACTCTAGGCCAGGTGACAGAGCAAGACCCTGTCTCAAAAAAAAATTCCACTGTAACTGCTGCTAATCAGAGTGTATATTCAGGGAAACTTGAATCTATGGCTTACAATCCTCAAGCTTGGCCCAAATAAACTCTCTACTTATATTAATTTTGCCTCAGCTTCTTCCTTTTAGCTCAACATAATTAAAATTTATGCTCACACTACCTTCTAAAGTGTAGAATGAGATGGTCAGAGGCATGGGCTTGAGCATCAGAGACGTTTCAGTTTGAATCCCATCTCCACCATGATTAGTTATTTTAGCCAAGTTACTTAACCTCTCTAAGCCTCAGTTTCCTCATCTATAAAAAGGGAATAATCATCCCTATGGTACTTAAATAAGAATCGAAATAATGTATATAAAGCAGTTAGCATAGCGCTTTGTACATAAACAGCACTCAACAAATGCTAGCTTTTTATCACTGCTGAGGCTATTGTTAATGTTGTTTTTGTTTTTATGCTTAAGGTAATCCGCAGACTAGCAGTATGGGTTTTCACAAAAGATGACCAGCCATATGGTTATATCATTCTTTCTTTTTCATATTTTTTTATCTCCGTGAGTCATTTGGGAATGATATCATTCTTTCTTGAGTCAAATTGTTGCCACAGCTAACTAGAAGAACAGAACTGAAAGAACTATTATTTAATTATATGTATGGGAATGTCCTAAATCTTTTTGGCCAAATAAACCATTCTGGACAAAAGTCCACACAGATGGTTCAATTGCCCCTTTCAGTTACAAGACATGCAATTCATTTTCCTATGCACACATCAAATAATGATGTGATGCCTGCCTCTTGTGTCCCAGGGGTCACAGTCACATAGATGATCTCTTGGTATTGTAGGAACCAACAGGAAAACTTCCCCTTTGCCCTCTGAAGTTTCACTGAAAAATCAACTCCCAAAAAAAGATTCATCAGTGAAAAGGCATACAAGTTTATTAACATGTACACAGGGAAATCCAGAGTGATTACGCACCCCCCACTGGGGTTCAGAAGCTTATATACGGCAAAACATGTTACGGAAGAGAGGAGAAGAGGAATTCTGTTGAGGGGCAATACATGATTACTAGGACGAATGAATGGATTGGGGAACTTATAAATAGTTGTTTGGAATCTGAATGACCCTGAGAGACGTCTTTATCTTGTGAAAGGGTCTGTTCAAGTGTGGTTACATCTTTGGTCTTCTTTTCTGCAATAGATAATGAGATAACAGGGAAGAAAGAAAAACCTATTGTTCTCCTTGCTGGATCTGGGCTTTAGGCCAGTAAAGGAACTTCAGAGCCTGTACTTTGGGAGAGAAGGGGGACGGGGGTGAGAGATCTTGAGGTTTCTTCAGTTCAGCAAATCAAAGTGCCACATTTTAGGGTATTGGTTTCCAAGCTCCAACATTACCATTTGTTTCATTTAACCTGTGAGCTTCAAATTACGGTCAAGAAAAGTTCCTACATTTGGAGTTTTCCC